CAGTCAACGGCTCCCACCTAGGCGTGCCTCTCGGCCTCCTCGACCTCTCTGTAGCCTCCGCCTCCTCAGCTGCCGCCATGTCCCTCCAGTTGGCATAAACCGAGGGGTAGCTCCTCCTAGTGGGCCCCATCACCTGCAATTAAAAAGAGTAAACCAGTAAGTACAGATAAACGAGACGTACTTAGTAAGAGATGCAAAATAAAGAAAATGTAATTACAAAATAACATAGTATTACATGTATTTCTAATATTCTTCATGATCGGGATTATCTGGACGATAGGTATCGTCATCACTATCAAGATTGTCCAAATCCTCAATAGCCTCATCCTCATCATTGTCATTGCCTAGTTGTAGTCCGTCAAGCATTTCCAAGTCCTTCGGATCATGCACCTCATTTGCAGCATCCTCGTCAACAACCCATTCCTCATCTGCTTTCATTTCGATCTCTCCGATTAAGTCTATCTCAAGCATCCCTGGTAGCCCCTCTTCTTGTTAATATAACTCTCCATCATGCGTGTTTGGGTTCAAGTTGTAATCATCAGGGTTTGGGCGAGGTAATCTACCGTGTGGTGATACCTTGTGCACAATATACCAACCCTGAAGACGTGGGTCGGTTTTGCAAGCATATGGACAATAAAAAACTTGTGTGGCTTGTTGAGCCACAATATAGACATCTTCTCCTGGATAGAAGGAATCATGTCGAGTTTCGACTATCCCAAGTTGATGGGACTTTCTTGATACTGCAGGATCAAACCACTGGCATTTGAATATGATAGGATTAAGTGCTTTGGAACCACGGTAGTCGAGCTTGTATATTTCTTCAACTATCCCATAATACTCCTCCTGATCAGTGTCGGGTGTAAATACTCTGGTATTCGTGGTCCTTGGATTGGGACGACTCTGCTCGTACCTTGTTGTGTGGAAGCGATATCCATTCACGTCATAAGCGTTAAATGACAAGACCTTATAGTCAAAGCCATTGGCCACCTGTCTTAATTCAGCACTTATAGACACATCCCTTTGGCACTGCAAGTTCAAGCAGGAGAGAAATGAAATCAGGCAACTTGGAACGTCAAACTTAGTAAGAGCTAAGTTGGTCGGTACCTTTTTTTGGAACCATGTAATGAAATCAGGCGAACCATGTTGAAGCAGGGTCTCTCGTTCATGGTCAGAAGGTGGCCTTGAATGATGCCAGGATTCATCAAAAAATTTCCTGCATCGACAAGGAACAATGTTGTTGGATGTACAAAAGTTATGGAGTATGTAACAAGTTCGTTGAGAACTTACCCCAGATACATTTCCACTTCGTCAAGGTTGGTTAACACGTAGAGCATGATCTTGCGCCACTCTTCATAGCTCAAGGTCTTTGTGGTCGCTCCACTTGCTCTCCCGCGTGGCTCTTTGAAAAGGCTAAGGGTTGATTCATTTTCATCCTCGTTGTACCGAACGGGTGGATTATGCACTCTAGGAAGGTTCTCATTATAGTATGTTGTTGTGAAGTTTGACACCTCCTCATGAATGAATGCCTCAGCAATGGAAGCCTCAATCCTGCCTTTATTTCCACATTTCTGGGTTTTAGGCATCGTACATCACAACTTTCTTAGAAACTTCTAAATTTTTTACCACAGCCTCTACATGCGATGACATGACACCTCGACAAGTTTCGTGATTTTCGGACTTCGTTTGCATTTTATATAATTAAAAAACACTTTTTAACAAGTTGGTGGTCATGTTTCGTGAAACAAATATTTGAAATTTCACGAATGTCCCTGCACACGGCCTCAAAATACACTCAAAAACATGAATACCATTTTTTGAATCGCTAAATTCCAATATTTCATGCACCTGCAGTTCAAATTTACTTTTTCGAGAAAAATTCAAGTAAACATAAAAAATTTAAAAAATATACCAAAAAGTCATAGAAAAGTTCCAAATTGGAACTTGTGCTTCAAGTATTGTATAAATGCCACAGAAAAAATTTGAAAACAAACAAAAAAATACTTTGCCAAGTGTCGGCATTGGCACTCGGCAAAGCAACCTCTTTGCTGAGTGCCAGGCTTGCAGCACTCGGCAAAGATAGAACGTTTGCCGAGTGCTAACGGCCAGCACTCGGCAAAGGATGATGGAGGGGCCACCAGCGTCGGCTGAGGTATTTTGCCGAGGGTTATTCTTTGCCGAGTGCCTGACACTCGGCAAAGAGGACATTTGCCGAGTGCCTGACACTCGGCACGCCCTCTTTGCCAAGTGTTTGGCACTCGGCAAAGACGGCCTTTGCCGAGTGCGGCACTCGACAAACTGCCTCTTTGCCGAGTGCCCGTGTTTCGACACTCAGCAAAGCGCCGAGCACTCGGCAAAAAGCGCATCTCCCATAGTGTCGCTAGGGCCGCCACACACGAGTAAGTCGTTCTGAGGCTCGGGAGTGTACACGATCTGCGAATGGAGAGCCCCGCTGGCACAAGGCGCGGAGGGTTGATCCTCCGAGCTTGCTACATTGACACGATGTCCATCGGTGGCGGCGCTGAAAGATTTTATGAAACGGGTTGTGCGATGAGCGGGCGGGTACTAGTGGGCCGGTATGAAAATCGCCGGTGAAAAAATCACGAGAGCGCCAGTGGCAGAGCCAGGATTCACTCATAACTAGGGCCAAATTTCAAATGCGAAATACCAATCGCTATACCATATTCTATATGACTATATATGTGTATACTGGTCGAGAGCAACCAGATGCTAAAGTTCTAGTCCTCTTCATCTTCTAATAAACCAATTAAGAAATCTATAAAATTATATTCTAATTGGAATCAAAAGTTCAAAACTCTACATAGAAATGACAAAATTGACATTGTAAACCTAAAAGTTAGAATCAAAATTAGTAAAGAGTTGAAATAAAAGAAAAACCCTTCACTCTTCCTGTTCCATAGTTCCTGCTCGGCCAGCTCGGGTGCTTGGCCGCGCGGGGCTCCAGCCAGCGGGCGACGGCGCACGGAAATTGGAAACATGGAAATTTAGAATCAAAATCAGTTTCAGATCTAAACCTAACACGGGAAGCTTGCTTAGTTGCTCTGCTCGCCTGGAAGGAAGGAGCCGGCAGCGCCGCAGCGAGCAGTGGGCGGGCAGCCGGCACCGCCATGCCGATGCTGCCGCGGAGCGCAGAGCGGAGGGGGCGAGGCCGCGGAACCGGAACGCGGAGAGGAGGGCTGGAGGGGGCGACGGGCGGTGCATCGTGGGCGATGGGCGGCGGTGGTCGCGACTCGCGAGTCTCGCGAAGCGAGCAAGCGACGGAGCGAGAAGGCGAGCCTCGAGTGATGATGATGATGATGATGATAGATAGATAGATAGATAGATAGATAGATAGATAGATAGATAGATAGATAGATAGATAGATAGATAGATAGATAGAGAGCAACCTATATCTCAAGACAGCCCACAAACCTCTCCAACAGGAGCGCTAGTCAAGATCTTGTAGTCACAGCGGGCCTACGAACCAAAGAAACTTATAGCTAAAAAGATGCGAAAGTGACCAGAGATGAAAAAAATCAAATTTGAACACTTTTAGCAATACCGGCTTAGCCAGTTTACAAAACTGGCTTAGTTGGTTTTTACTATACTTATCCTGCAGCTACAAAAAAAAATCGAAACTCAAACAATGTAAATGATATATTATTGAGAGTTCAATTTCGTTCCTCAAGAAAATCATTAAACGTGAAGGATATTGTATTTTTTTGGTAGTGCTGATGCAAAGGATTCAATTTTGCTCTTCATCTCCAACAGTTTCCAAAACCCACTAATTTCAATCTAGATTTTTTTGGCAAGATTGTTAAAAACCACTCTTCAACAACTCCCAATCTCAACTCGCTATCTTCCCACACAAGGAAAAATCGACCTCGTCGCGCGGCTATATAGGCGCGTATCCATCGTGCCAATCCGAAGGTGGAAAGGTGTGGAGAAGAATAAGAAGTAGGACAGGGTTCGTGATGCAAATGTATAAGAGCATCTCCACGAGTTCCCAATAAAACCTCCCAACCTAGGATTTTTGGCAACAATAGAAAACACCCATCTCCAAGAATTCCAAATCCGACTTGCCAATCGTTTGGCACTTGGAAAAAAATAAGGGCGTTAGAAAGAATAAGGAATAGAAAGGGTTCCTAATGCAAATATATAAGAGAGAAAGAATATATAAAAGTGGTTAGGATAATTTAGAAATAATACAGGATTTCTGATGTAAAAGTTATCTTCTATATTTTAGGAGTGAATTATTGAAAACCGTTGGAGATAGTTTCCTCCCAATACTTTTTGTCAAGTTGGAAAACTACCTATTTTGGGAAGAAATTCTTGGGAACTCTTGGAGATGCTTTAAGAGAGAAAGGATAAAAGTGGTTGGGGTAATTTAGAAATTGTTTGAGATTTCTAATGTAAAATTACCTTATATCATCTAGGAGCGATATTTTAGAAACTGTAGGAGGAAGCCAACAAGTGATTTTTTTAGTCACTTGGAAAACTCATTAATTTACCAAGTGATTTTTTTTAGAAACTATTAGAGATGCTCTAAGAAAATTATTAAACGCCAAAGTTGTTTTAAACTTTTTTGGTAGTGACTTTGCGAGAAAGGAGTCATGCTGTCGGGCTGCGTCACTCCAATCTCTTTGGGAGATTGGTTTATTAAACTGTCACGTACTCTGTCCGTCCTCAAAAAGTATCGTTTTTTATGAATTTAGACTAATATAAATCTACACAAATGTTTGCTTAGATTCATAAAAATATTGCGGAGGGAGTATGATGCATGATGATTGAAGTCAAATGCGGTCGTGCCTTTTCCCGTGGCTCGATCTATTCTTAATTTCTCACGTACGTGTCCCGCAAGAAGAACCCCCTCCGAGGTCCCTGGACGTCAAGAATAACGTGCGCGCAGCTAGCGGATCAGATCAACCGGCGGGACACTGGCGGTGGACGACGGCCGGTGAGCTAATACCCTCTGTGCATGCTCTGGCATTCTGGCGGCGCCAATGGCGGCGGTGGTGGCGGTGGTGGGTGCACAGTTCTGCTCGTCGCAGGCATCGCGGCTGACCCTGACCATGAACCTCACGCGCGGCGGCACCGTAACCGACGATGGCAACGGCGCGGTCGTGTTGCGGATTGACGTCCCCCTCTTCCTCAGGTTCTTCGGCCGCTTCGTCCTCGCCGACGTCGCTGGCCGGCCCCTCCTCTCCGTGCAGAGAAAGGCAAGGCTCTAGCTACCGCATCTATCGATCACTTTCATCTCGACGTACTGCTCTCAATCGCGCCCTAGTTAGCTAGCTAATTCAGGCATTGTTGTTGTCAGCAGGCATTTAGCTTGTACAGAGAATGGGAGGCGTTCAGAGGGGACGGTCGTGGCCACAACGGAGGCGAGCTGCTCTTCACCGCCAAGAAATCTACGATTGTGCAGGTGAGGACGCAGATGGACATATTCCTGGCGTCGAACAGAGAGCAGGAGGTCTGTGATTTCAGGATAAAGTGTAGTAGCTTCTACGAGGGGTCGGCCGACATTTACCTTGGCAACTCCAACACCGTAATCGCTCAGGTGAAAGGAAAATCCGTGTATTGATTAATGGTTTCCATAAATAAATAAATTAATTAAGAGCATAATTATTTCTAATGAGAGAGGCTCGATCAACATGCATTTGGTTTGCTTGGCGCTGCATGCAGATTCGCCGTCGCCGTACTGCCGCGGGCGTGTTGCTTGGAAAGAGCACCTTCAGTGTTACCGTGCTCCCAAATGTCGACTATGTGTTCATCGCGGCTCTTGCTGTGATGCTAAACGAGATCCACGTGGCCAGACGACGAAACACATAGAAGACCACACTGGTCCTTACTGTCGAACCATATACGCTTGCTGCTGTGTAGCACGTCCGTGTCATCTTGTGTGTTCTTTTAAGGAATTCATGTCATCTTATGCTGCTGTTACTAGTGTTCTATTGACGAGGGTTGCATGCAAAACTGTGCTAACAGGATCGACTTTTTTGAGCAAACACTTATCTATGCCGATTATTATGATCTACAAAAGTGTACGTATGTATATTTGCTTTATTTAGACCCGACCATCTAGCTAGTTTATACCAGAGTGCACACTACCGGAGACAGCTTCTTTGCCTAGTGTCCCAGACTTTGCCGAGTGCTTTTTATTAGGCGCTCAGCAAAGAGGCTATCTGCCGAGTGCCAGAGAGAAAGCACTCGGCAAACAACTAGCACTCGGCAAATAGGTGGTTTGCCGAGTACCGATCACTCGGCAAACAATAACACTCGGCAAAGACCAGGTTTGCCGAGTGTCGGGCACTCGGCAAACCAGAACACTTGGCAAAGGGCCGCCGCCGTTAACGGCCGGCGTACCGCCGTTAAAATCTCACAATACCTCGTACTCCATGTTCTAATGTGGCACATTTCTCGGACTTTTTCTATATTTCTTTAATTTATTTCATTTAATTGACTTTTCTTAGATAATTCAAATTATAACGGCTAGTCATTCGAATAATGAAAAAAAATGAATGAAAAAATGATATTCATGTTATTTAGTATAATGTGAGGCCGTATCCAGGAACAGACCACCAATTTCGAACATCTTGTTCACGAAACATGACCACGAACTTGCGGTCGAGTTGTTTTTAAATTCTATAAAAAGCAAACGAAGATCGAAAATCTTGAAACTTGTCAAGATGTCATGATATCATATGTGGAGGCTGTGATAAAAAAATTGAGGAGGTTTCGTGCAAGTTTGTCACGTACGATGCTTACCACCTCGTCGGCCTCTTCACGAAATCATGAAACTTCTTCGGAGATTCTTCGGTTTGCAAGCATCGTACGTGACAACTTACGCGAAACCTTCTTAAATTTTTATCACAGCCTCCACATATGATACAATGACATCTCGACAAGTTTCAAGATTTTCGGTCTTCGTTTGCTTTTTATAGAATTTAAAAACAACTCGACCGCAAGTTCGTGGTCATGTTTCGTGAATAAGATGTTCGAAATTGGTGGTCTGTTACTGGATTAGGCCACACATTATACTAAATAACATGAATATCATTTTTCCATTCAATTTTTCATTATTCGAATGACTAGCGGTTATAATTTGAATTATCCAATAAAATTCAATTAAATGAAATAAATTAAAGAAATATAGAAAAAGTCCGAGAAATGTGCCACATTGGAACATAGAGTACTAGGTATTGTATGAGGACTGCAGAAAAAGTTTGGAGGTCAAAAGTGAAAAAAAATATGGTTTGCCGAGTGTAAAAAAATGACACTCGTCAAATCACAACTTTGCCGAGTGTCAGGAGATGGCACTCGGCAAAGAATTTAAATTTTTTTTAAAAAAAACCTCTTTGCCGAGTGCCAGGCCGGGTGGTACTCGGCAAATAATTTAATTTTTTTAAAAAAAAAAACCTCTTTGCCGAGTGCCAGGCCAGGTGGCACTCGGCAAACAATTAAAAAAATTAAAAAATAGTTTGTCGAGTGCCAGATCGGGGGCACTCGGCAAAGGGGGATTTAACCCCGTCGACCTAGCCAGCCCACACACACCACCCACACGCACACACGCACTGACCGCGCCAGCGCCGCCGCTGCCCCCGCCCACGCCCGCGTCGCCCCCTGTGCCGCGCCGCCGGAGGAGGAGGAGAAAGAGAGGAGGAGGAGGAGAGGAGGAAGGAGGAAGAAGGAGGAAGAGAAGGAGGAGGAGGAAGAAGGAGGAAGGAGGAAGAAGAAGGAGGAGGAAGCGCCCCGGCCACCGTTGCCACGTCCCCGGTGCTTCCCCAGCCGTCGCCTTGTCCACCGGTGCCCTGGCCCCTTCACCACCGCCGCCCTACGATGCCCACTAGGTATGCCCTACCGTCGTCGTCGTCGTCATCGTAGTATTACTAGTAGTTGCGGTAGTAGTAGTGGTAGAGTAGCAGTGGTGGTAATCGTAGGAGTCGTAGGAGTGGTTGTGACATTGTTATATATATGTGGTTGGATATAATCTTGTGCATGTCGGCCATCATGCCGTTGGTTTTCTTGCAGGTTTTGGAAACTTCACCATGCAGGGGAGGTACTGCCGAAATTTTGTATTGACAGTTTTATGTTTCTTTTTTTGCAGAGAAGAGCGCGTCGTAGCGGAGCCGGAGTACCTCAGCGACCCCGATCGCCTTCCTCGCCACTGCGGGTATGCCTGCACCACGTCGCCTCGCCACTGCACCGACCCACCACGGCCCCACTAGCCTGACTCCACCGCCACCCTAGGTATAACCCCTCTTTCCGTATCATGGTCGTAGATCACGTAACCCAGTTAGGCGTCTCCCGTTCGAAAGAGATACGGTTGGAAATATGCAGATATTTCCATATCTAAAACCGTATCTGTTTTGAATTATCCACGTTTTTTGGACACCCCGTGGATGCGTAGGTGGGGTTAGTTTCCATGGTCTGCTCCGATCCGAGACAGAGTTTCGGCATCATCTCCCTGTTGTTCTCCGGATACACACTCTCCCTGGCAGGACGTGTATTTGGAGAACAGCGGGGAGGTGCTGCCGAAATTCTATCTTGGATAGGAGTAGAGCATCGAAACTAACCTCATCTACGAATCCTCGCGTGGGATTAGGACCTATCCTCACCTATTAGATAGTAGGAACGTCGTGTAGATGCAATTGATGTTTATATTACTCGCCGCTATATATGTTAGTGGATGGAGGACCGTAAGTGGATGTACACGGGCCGCGCAAGTCAGGGTCAGGTCACCAATGAATGGATCGACAAGACCGATGCTTTCTTGGAACGGGCATTTGGCATGGCTGCTAAAGGAGCGAGTAAAATTTGTTGTCCCTGCAGCAAATGTGCAAACAGGAAAAGACAAGCGAAGAAGGTCATGGGGGAACATCTTTGGAAGAATGGATTTACGGCAGACTATACCCGGTGGGTCTAACATGGTGAAGCCGATCGTATGAGAGAGGAGGTGGTGAGACCACGCGTCGAGGGTTATGATGCTGATGCGGGGGTAGCAGACATGTTAAATGACTATCACGACGCACAGTTCGCTGAAGGACGTACGGAGGAGGAGCCAGAGGCAACCGCAAAGGCGTTCTATGACATGTTTGCCGCGGCACAGAAACCCCTTCATAGCCAGACAAAGGTTTCTCAACTGGATGCCATTGCACGCATAATGGCGATAAAGTCCCAGTATAGCCTGAGTCGAGACGCCTTCAATGGTATGTTGACAGTTATTGGTAGCCTGCTTCCGGAGGGTCACCTTCTGCCAAAGAGCATGCACGAGTCACAAAAACTCCTTCGTGCACTTAAGATTCCGTATGAGCAGATACATGCTTGCCCGAAGGGGTGCGTCCTATTTAGGAAAGAATACGTGGAAGCAAAGTACTGTTCAAAGTGTAAATCCTCTAGGTTCCTAGAGGAAGATTCTGGTAATGGCCAGAAGAGGCAGCTTGACATTCCCGTGACAATCCTACGGCACCTTCCGTTCATACCGAGGATCCAATGGCTATACATGATCGAGGAATCTACAAAACAGATGACATGGCACAAAAATGGCAAACGATACAATCCTGACAGGATGGTACATGCATCTGATGGTGAAGCATGGACCCACTTTGATGGCATTCATCATGAGAAAGCTAAAGAGGCTCGTAATGTACATGTTGCGCTGGCAACAGATGGGTTCAATCCTTATGGAATGATGGCTGCCCCATACACATGTTGGCCCGTGTTTGTTATCCCCCTCAATCTCCCTCCCGGTGTATGCTTTCAACGACAGAATGTATTCTTGTCGTTGATAATTCCTGGACACCCGGGGAATAATATGGGTGTGTTCATGGAGCCTGTGATTGATGAATTGGTCCGTGCTTGGGAGGAAGGGGTATGGACATACGACCGAGCTACAAAGAAAAACTTCAAAATGCATGTTTGGTACCACTACTCCCTGCATGACTTCCTGGCGCATGGGATATTCTGCGCCTGGTGTGTTCACGGGAAGTTCCCATGCCCAGTATGCAAGGAAGGTCTGAGGTTCATTTGGTTGTAGAAGGGTGGCAAGTATTCATCGTTCGACAAACATCGGCAATTCCTCCCTCTTGACCATGCATTCAGATGAGACATCAAAAACTTTACAAAAGGTGTCATAGTGACAGACCCTACACCATCGATAATGACTGGTGCCACAGTTCGTGAATAGATAGATGGTCTCGTGGTCAATCCAGAAGGTGGTTTTGTGGGATAT